CCTGTGGAATCTGCCAATCCAGGAGAGGGCAGACCAAAGTTTCTACGCATGGCGCTCTTAATGAAGCCACTTTTCAAAAGCAGTTTTGCTTTCACTTCAATAATTGGGAAGATTGTAAAATGTTAACAGCGGAGTCCTCCCAGCTCTGCTGAATAAACAGTCTAGCTGTTTTTCTAGAACTAATTACTGTATTTTCTACTCCTGTACAGAGTCAGGGCCTTCAGTTACCAAGAACACAGTGTCGTTCCCTTTCTGTAACAGTTTCTTTCTTATTTTTTTCTCTTCTGTATTCACTTTCGCTGTTAAATATCTGTAAAATGGAACAAAGGGATTATTATGTACAGAAAAAAAGAAAGTTTAGTATGGAAAGAACTGAAAGGTAAAGACAGGCCATTGTGTTACAAGAAACATTCACAACAGGAATGTGCCCTGTACAAGGTCTACGAGAAAGAAATACGTACTGAGCCGATTTATAGAGATCTACAGTTTAAAAAAAATTGATGCTGAAAAAACAGAACCTTATAAGTCCCTGAACAAAAAAGGAAAGGGGTGATGAGAGGAACTGTGGAGCTATGTGTCACAGTAAGTTTGCTCACAAGATGTAGCAAATGTTTTACTACTGTTTTATGTTATAGTATTGGTAGGCAGACAGCTATTAAATGGACAGAATCAAGAGACATAAAATATAAACAATAAATAGAATAAAACAGAATATGGTAAGGACCTGAAAACATTAATTGAACACAAGTAAACCCTGTTACTTGGGCTGTATTAACTACAATTAAATTTATGGGCCAGTACCTGGGGCAACATACTTAGTTGGGGCAGCACAATATACAACAAAAGTATCATATAAATGATCAGTTTATTAACTTGTAAAATGTAAAAAAAAATTATGATGGGGCAGCACAGTGGCGTAGTGGTTAGCGCTTCTGCCTTCCAGGACTGAGGGTCCCCAGTTCAAATCCCAGCCAGGGTCACTATCTGCAAGGTGTTTGCATGTTCTCCCTGTGCTTGCATGGGTTTCCTCCCACACTCCAAAGACATGCTGGTAGGTTAATTGGCTCCTCTCTAAGTTGGCCTCTATGTATACATGTGAAATAGGAACCTTAGATTGCAAGCTCCTTGAGGGTAGGGACTGATGTACACGTGCAACTATGTAAAGTGCTGCGCATATTGTCGGTGCTATAAAAAATACCTGTAATAAAATGATGAAATTGATCAAAATGTTTATAGTTTCACATTAACAAGCTAAACATGAAAAAAAAAACATTTGTTTAGTTTTGTAAAGTGTGAAGAAAGTTAGATTCCCTGTAAGGTTATTATTGCTATCTTCTCACTAGGGGATTCACTATCTCTATTTGTCCCAGTGACCCTTGTCACTAGGACTGAAGGTGATAGAAAATCCAAAAAATGTTAAGTTGTCACCAGAACAGACATTAGTTCCAGTGACAACTGTCTCACTTTGGAGAGATTTCTGCTCACTTTATGTTGAGTCTAAAGTACAAGTCAAAAGAAATCTCCCCAGTAGGACACAGATGACAAAACAAATCTAGATATTGGTTTTAAACATTACATACTTTAACCAAAATTTAAAAAAATGCTTTGGCTACAAAAAAAAATGCTTCTTTTAATGTGATTGTAAACTCTCATTGAATCTGAATTTTGGGGAAAATTAAAAACAACCCTTGCTGTAGGGAAACACTAAAAAGCAGTTTTACTTACCTAATTTCTTGCTCCCCCAGCACCCATTGCTTTACTGTTCTCTTCGATGCTCCATGTTGTGGGTGGGCCCACGGCATCCTCACTTACAATGCAGGACTGCTGGTCGTGCATAGTACATGATGACACCAGTATTCGACCGATGGAGAGTACTAAAGAGAATTAGCTTAGAGGGACTGGTGGCAAGTAGGAGAGGAGCCTGTGGGAGTGAGGAATAAGGAAAGTCAATCTGCTTTTTAATGTTTCCCTACACAAAAATTTGTGTTTTACTTTTTACATTTCCCAGAGTTCAGCTCTAGAGTTCATCTCTGGTGAAGAAAAAACTTACCCTTGCAGTGGGAGTACCAGACATCCCAACTCTCCTGGACGTTCTGAGTGTCTCCCGCTATAATACAGCGGCTCTCTGATGCCCGGGAGAGAAACATTTTATCCCGGAAAGGTTTACTCTGCTCTATCCAGCAGAGTAAACCCTTTCAGGATCTGCTATCTGTTTTTTAAAATTATTTTGACAGCGGCCACCGTTGCTGTCAGAGTGAAGAAAAAAACAAAAAACAACAGATAGCATGGGAATGAATAACTAGTCTGCTATTTCAATTTGCAATAGCCAATAGCAGGCTGGCTATTGCACCAGCACACTGCTGTTTTCTGCAGAGCAGGAGAACTTCAGGTCCACCTCTGCTGATTGACAGCAGCAGATAGCAGGGGAAGCATTAGCTCCTCTGCTATCTTCAATCATTTCAGGTAGGTGCCCTCATCCACTCTGGATGTTGGAATGTCCCTCGGCATCCTCACATCTAATGTAAGGCAATGGACCTGCATTAGACATGATGACACCAGTGGTCTTTAGGCTGCCAGAGCACAGGTAAGAAGAGGCTGCAGGGACCAGTCTAACAGTCTGGTCAGAGATGGTGGGAGCAGAAATCAGGTAAGTAAAACAGCTTTAATAGTATTTCCGAGACATAAACAAGCCCTTAACCCTTGTAATTGGGGTGGGGGGAGTAGCCCCACTGCAAGGGTACGTTTTTTATTTGGCCGGAGATGATGTTTAAGTAGAGGAAAATATTCTGTACACTGGTGCTGTTTACCTGCATTTGGCCTGCTTTGGTTTGTGTTTCTCTGGTGCTGTCAGAAATACATTTCCATTGAAGGCCAAGCAGGTGAAATGCAACCTTTGGTGCTTGAAAGCTGCACTACATTTGAATGTAAATACTGGTGTTAAGCAAAGCCTGCGCACACAAGCCCAAAAGCATGGTGACTTGTAAGCACTTTATGATCTGTTGCCACTGGAAAGGGTTTTAGTAGAGGGGTGAGGTCAGCATGTCATGCAAATATTATTACCATCCCTGCCTCCGGTCTGTGGTTTAATGGCATCCCCTAATAACATACTCTTCTTATTTTATAAAGTATTCACAGTCATGAGACACAAATATGTAATGGCTGGCATAAATGTGCATAGTCACACCAGCTGAGTGTGCATGTTTATACCCTGTGCAGATGCCTGTTAAGCTTTATCTTTAGGGAACAATGGTGATATTCCAGGAAAAAAAGCAATCTGGGAATATCAGTTCTTCCCCTGAGATATGATTCACTACTACATTTTAAGTTAACTTGGTGAACCCACTTCCTGTGAGTAGGTGTTTGTTAAATTCTAGCAGATAGCTTAGAGACTATGTCATGGGGAAGAGGGGCAAACTGCAGCAGGCGTCCAGACTCCTAGAGGGACCACATATCTGCATCTGTCTCTTAAACCTTCCTGTCAATGTCAAACCTCAGGTTTTTATAGGCATAGCTTTAACATTTCTTTAAAGCCCAACTCTGGACCCCATGTGTCCCCTCCTTAACCAACCCCCTTCCCCACTAGTTATGTTTTGCTTTTTTATGATATCCTTTTTTTTGTTTTTATACTTACCTTTTCCAAAGTCTTAAGACCCTGCAGTGTCCTTTTAATTTTCGCCTCTACTTTGGGCTGGGTGGCCATTACTGATGCATAGAGCATTGATGAGTGATGCCAGCACCCATCTCTGTACCAGTGCACTGTGAATAAAGGGTACTTTGGTGATGCCCCCTCAGGGGGCAGGATCATGATACCCTGCTTTAACATTAGAGTCTTCCTGGTTCAATGAGGCTGGGGGGTCATTCATCGTGGAAGACTTAGGACATCTTGTGGCCAAGAATAGGTATGGCCTTGGACTGTAAAGTATTATTATCATTATACAGGATTTATGTAGCACCAACAGTTTGTGTGGTTCTTTATAAAACAAAGGGAGGCAATACAGATACAATACACAATTTTGTAAATGAGGGTTAGAAGGGCCCTGCTTGTGCTATATGAGAAAAATAGGGAAGCTGCTAGTGCTGGCTCTTCTTTTCAGAATGCTAGTTGGGAATGTCTGGTTTGAATCACTTAAATCATCACAGCCCATGAACAAACCTGCAACAAATGAAATCTAAAGAAAATGTAGGTTTCATTTATGCTTGCTCTCTGTCAGTGACTCAGTAAGCATCAAAGTCAAATCATAAGTGTGACAGACATGTAACTGGCAATTCCAAAAGAAAAGGTCAGCATTGGTAGCCTTCATATTTCTTTCATGACAAGTTCCCTTTAACACTTTGTAAGTCTTTACCAAGTAGGACTGTGATTTACAGTATGAGTAGGCTGAAAGGGATTGTACTGTGGCTATAAAACAGCAGAATGGATTCATTTTATATTATTATTACTATACAGGATTTATATAGCGTCAACCGTTTGCACAGCGCTTTACAATATAAGGAAGACATTACAATCACAATACAATTCAAGACAAGGTGGTGAGGGCCCTGCCCGTGAGGGCTTACAATCTAAAGGGGAGGGGCAAGTGATACATGAGGAGGTAGCTGTGTGGGGATGAATTGTTTAAGAATGTGATGGTTCAGTGGTTGGGTTTATGTGGGATAGGCTTCCCTGAAAAGATGAGTCTTAAGGGATCGCTTAAAGGCAGTCAGAGTGGGAGATAGACAATGTATATGCACACTAGGCAAAATAGTACATTACAAAACATTAACACAGGATAAGGATCTTTATTTTTGCTATGTGGCTGTCAAATTCAAATCTCATTTGCGTCAGTTTGTTGAAAATCAGGATCCTTATCCTGGTGTGTTAGCTTTTTGAATTGAGCCTACTTGTCTCCTTAAATAATCTTTGCTTATTGGCTTTCAAGTATTACAAATCCTGGTATATCTTTGGTACATATTCAGCATTATTAATAGAAGTGCATATTTGTCTCCACAGAACATTCAAGCAACTTCCAGCAACGAAGTTTGGAAGATGAATCTGTATATAATTACAGGTAATATTTATAATTCAGGCTGGAAAAGGGAACAAACTGTATTTTGGGGCCTTATTTTTAGGGATTCTTTTATAATGGAGGGCTTATATCACTATTCACTCACCATTATACATGGCTTCCCTACACAAAAATCACCCTGTGGCTCGGCGGCATTCGCCTATTCACTCAATGAGAATAGGGGCGAACGGCAGCAAGGGAGCTGCCGGAGCTTCGGCTCAGCCGATCCAACATCAGTAGAAGTCCTTCTGCACTTGGGCTCAGCCGAACATGTAGGGTATGTTCGGCTGACGAAGGCAGCCGTACAGAGCCGATGTATGGCTGATTTCAGCCGATGTACAGCTGAAATCAGCCGTACAAGCCAGAAGTGAATAACCAAACAGTGTTTGGCTTACTTCACTTCGGCTCGGTTATTCACTCGGCTGCCTTTGGCAGTTTTGTGAATAAGCCTGCAAATTGCTTTTATTTAGTAAAGTAAGGGAAGGCTTGAACTCCTGTCAGGTTTTCATTTCTTCCCCCTACTTTATTTAAGTCCCCTACTTTCTGTCTGGTTAAACAGTAGTCAGCACCACTGGAAGCGAGAGAGTATCTCTCTATCGGTAAATCGGGATAGCAGTAAAATCCCATCAGGAGTTCTAATCTTTCTATAGTCTATCCCAGCCTTCCTCAACCAGGGTGCCTTCTGGCTTCCTCAAACTTTTCTGATGCTAGGACTCTGATGTGAAGGGGAAACTCTTCTGTAAAAGGGGAAATGCTAATATGAAAGAGGGGCTCCTGGTGTGAAGAGGGCTTCTGGTATGAAGGGGGGCTCCTGATGTGAAAGGAGGGGAACTATGATGTAAAAGAAGGGAGCATCTAATGTGAAGGGGAACTACTGATGTAATCAAGGACTCTGATGTGAAGGAGAGGATTCTGATGTGAAGGGGGGCTACTGATGTGAAGGAGTGCTCCTGCTTTGAAGAGAGGACTTAGATGCAAAGAATGGAACTCCATTTTTGTGTGTGTTTTTGCGTGGGGTTCCCCGTACATTTTACACTGGGGTGCCTTGAGATCTTGCATACTTTTTAAGGGTGCCATGAGTGAAAACAGGTTGAGAAACACTGCTCTATCCGAAACATGGCTTGATATACATTTCAATAATATAATATATATATAAATATATGTATATATATACTAATAAATATATACAGATAAATATATATACACATAAAATGATATATATGTATACAGTACATGTATATGTTAATGCCATAATATTCAATAAATATGATCTGTTTCTCTAAGGAAATTCTGACAGGTCTTAGACATGACATTTTGATAACTGAAGCCCATAAAGTTCAAAGATATTGCATTTCATCTATTGAGTTACTGATGGTCTTTGAAAAGGGTTAACTCTTCAGCGCAACCATTCCTTGGGTAATAAAGTGTTTCCACAACAGAACGAACAAACTGAAGAAGAGACAATTTTCTTTTGTCCTGTAGATGGCTCTGTTGTCATTGGAAAGGCTCCTGTAAATATTTTGTGTTTTTATTACTAGTCTGCTTAAGCACATGTGTAATTTAGAACCTCTGTCCAGGTCTAAATGCTGTCTCTGTCCACCTCAAGGAGATTATGTCTGTCAGGTTTTATTTGCTGTCTGTCTCCCCATAAAGGAAACTTCTCTTAATGTTCTGTCTGACACCCTTCAACTGAACAGGAAATGGGGGTAAATCTCCCTCATGGGGACACAGACAGCAATAAAATCCTACCAAGGTTCTAAACCTTCTCTCTTCTAGAAAAGTTTTTTTGTTTGTTTACTTGTTTCTTGTCACCTGTATTAATATTGCAATGATTTCCCCTCACTTCCTGTTATGTCTGTCGCCCATCCAACATACAGGAAGTAAGGAGAAATAGAGGCACAGACAGAAATAAAATGTTAACCCAGGTTTTAACAATTCCACTCTTTATCAAAAACTAAGGGCTGATAATAATACTGATTGACAGATTTCAGTACAGGAGAGTACTGTACACAGGACGTTATGAGTTCACAGGATTTTTAGCAAGATTAACAGGAATTCAACTTGATTGAACATATTTAACTACATGCTTCAATAGTACATTTAAAATGCCCTCATGTGACCCTATGTCAGGAGATAGCAGGCTAATGCCGTACTGCAGCCAGGAAGGATCCCAACAATATTGATGGGATCCACCCGGCTGTCTGAGTGACAGCTGGCTCTGCCTCTCTAGAGCCATATCCAGCTGTGCCTGCCCCCTCCCCTGTCTGTCCCTGCAATGAGTGCTGAAGGAACAGAGAGGGGAGGGAGGAATTTCTGCAGGGGAATAGTGAATGACAGGGAGGAGACTGTGGCCACATGATTACGCAGCTCTCGGTATATAGATCTGGTGTTTGACAGCTGAAGTGTCCAATGGCAGCTCTAAGTATTAGGAAGATTATATATTACTTCCCCAGAACTTCTCCTTTAACAGACCAACAACGTCCAATTTGTTAGGGTTCACATACACTTGAACATATATTATATATGTGTATTGGGGTGCCATCTTCAAATGAAAATGGCACTACAGAGAAACACACATATACCTGTGCATTAAAGAAGTGGTGCAGTACTAGTACAACAGCAACCAATAGGTATAAAGCCAGTCTATAGCACCTCCTTACCAGCAGTATAAATTAGCACTTAAATGGGAACAATGGGAGTATATAATATTAATAAATAGTACATTTACTTTATCCTTTTTTTAGGTTTGCTAATATTAACTTGGAGAACCTCATCCCTGGAAATCAGCCCAAATGAGACGGAAATAGTGCTCAATCTTGACAGCACCTTTACTCTGAGCTGTTCGGACACTGAGAAGATAGTCTGGAAGCACGATGAACAGTTTGTTTCCTCCAGTCTGGAATACAAAGATGGCCTGTACACCAGTATCCTGACCCTTCGTAATGTAAACGGTATAAACACAGGGCTCTACTCATGTCTGTACAATGAGTCAACTAGCCAAGGAGATGAAGGTGACATGAAATCTGTCTACATCTTTGTACCAGGTAAAAACATTTCTACAATTTTATGCACAAGTTTACTGTGCTTATTCTGAACTTCTGTAAAGTGGCAATAAAGAGAGAACTGGAGAAAATAAGCAGAGGGGCTACAAGACTAGGGGGAGAAATAGTCCCTAGGAAAGAGTTAGATTAGAGCTGAGAAACAGCAGGTCTTACCTGATTGGAAGCGACGGGCAGGTGGTAGGGAGGAGCCATGGGTGCAGGACTTGTAGCGGCTGCTGGGAGTTCTTTTCAGAAGGACAACGAAGAAAGAAGATTGCCCCACCTGCCCTCCCTTGTAAAATGTTGCCAACAGATGAGTGATCTGCTTGTTTTTGTCACAGCAGCTTGATTGGTTATGGGTCCATCTGTTGATATGGTGCTCCTCCATTGGTATCAGTTGTTACCGGGGGGCTCGCTCCCTTGGGAAGTCAAATTGTTACCGGGGGGCTCGGTCCCTTGGGAAGTCAATTTCTGGAGCTGTCCTCAAGCCTGTGGGAGTGTGGCTGGAGATATGGGTGGATGTTTAGTAAAACCTTCTTTTGGCTAGTGGACATCAAAGACCCCTTTTTATAACTAACAGTCATTAGGGTATAAAATTGGTATGTTTTTTTATTTTCAGTTGGTTGTTTGTAACTGTTAATTGTTATGTGGTTAGATAAAAAGCTGCTGTGGCCATGTAAACCCATGTCGTGCAGTCCAAGTGTTTATTGGGAATTTTATTAGATGAAGGAATTTTAAAAATCCATCATTCAGCATTCAACTATAATGGATTCAACTCATTAGTATTATTCTTATTTTGTTTACAAGTTTTTAAGCAGTTTTTTATTGTAAAAAATATTTATTTTATAAACAATATATTTAGGGCCTATTCAAACAAAGTGCATTGTGGTAATGCATACTTTACAGGAATTTGTTAGAGAAGTTAAATCATCTAACAGTTAAATAGACTACTTGCAAAACTTCACTTGTACCTTATTAGGTGTGTCATGTTGCAAGGTCTATGCAGTAACCAGTCCAATAGAATCCATCATGCACTGCTCTGACCTCAGCAAAGTAAATTCTAATTGGTTAATATAAGTTACTGCACATTAAGCGGGACTAAAGTCTGACTGTACTCACCTTCCACCTAGCTAGGCAACATCCATGAGCTCCCTCCCTCAGTGCCCACATCTTTGCCCAGTCATCTTCTGGATTTGACATCTTCAGCCATGTTGATTGGTTAGCCTGTAATGACATAACTCCAAAGCATGTGCATGGGAGTTAATTCATCCTGGCACCAAGACATGTCAGGAATGTACACTGAGCTGCACATGTTTTAATTGATGCTTGTATTCACACTAGGGAGTTTCATCCTCTAAATTTGCCCTGGAGACCATTGTCCCCAGCACAGAAAGTGATGGGGAAATCCAAGACTTTAGAGATGTCATAGGAACAGAAAGTGAAAGATAATTTCCAACATGATCATTTATGATAGGTCTTAGGGAATGAGGTGTCTTGTGTAGTTTACAAAAAGAGTGGAAGAATTTTTTCTTCTCACTATAGTCAACACTTTTATTTATCCTGGTTTATACTTTATACGTTATTTGTACTCTAATAATAAACATAGCTTGATATATGAACTGGCCTTTCGCTTGCATGATTATTGAACTCTTGCCTTCTTCTTCCTGCCTAGATCCTGAAATGTGGTTTCTGCCAATCAAGGAACATGGGGAGTTCTTGATTGTTCTAATAAACAGCAAAAATACAATTCCTTGCCGAGTGACTTACCCTAACGCCACAGTAACTCTTCATGAGAAGGAGGCAGATATTGAAATCCCTTACCCATATGACAACAAGAAAGGTTTCACCGGATATTTCGAAGACCGAAACTATTATTGTAAAGCGTCTCTTGATGAGAAGGAAGTTTCATCCAGTTCGTTTCATATCTATAGTTTGCAAGGTAAAATGATCTCTTAAGTATTGGTTAAGTACAGTAAATTGCAGCAAAGTGTGTCTTCAATAAAGTTCACGAGGGTTTCTACTGCTTTACAAGATTTTATTGGTGCCCATTAGAAGCGTATCTTAGCAATACTGAAAATCACACCAAAAGGTTCCAGAATGAACAGGCAGGAACAGGCTAAGGAGTTAGGATGTGTATGTCACTCCGGTCTTCATGCATCTGTCACATGTGAATGTCCTACTTAGTGATCAAACAAAATGCTTGAAGCCCACCTTTCAGTTGAGCACAAAGCTCATTTTATTCAAACCAGGTAATTTATTAATTTAAGCAAACATATTAATCAGAATGCACCCGTGGAAGCAGCATGCAGAAATACCTTTCCAGAAGTTAAAAAAACCATGAACCATGGTTCATTGTGATCTCAGGGGTTTATACTTTCCACCAAGTTGGAGCATACCAAATAAAGAGGAATTGGTCATCTGAGCTATAAGGACCTTGCGTCCCTCTGTCCTTTCAGTTCTGCTGCTGGATTTACCGTTAAGTGTGCAGTGACTGTCTTTGTAGATATAAAATGAAAAGGTAAACACAAGTTTGAAACATCGCTGTAGGATCTCATCTCATCATCCTTCTTTCAGGTGCCTACAGACAGGAGTATCACTGTCGCTCATGGAAAAGATGAAAAATGGAAAAAAACAACCATGGTGAATAGAGGGACAAGAGATCCCTTTATAGTGTAGATTTTGATTTTTGTAGATCTGTAGCTTTTTATAGCAACAAGTAGGTAGATGGGTTGCAGGAAACAATAGAAATGGTATGACATCTGTCATCAAGCATGTGGAAAATATCTCCACATGTCTCCACGTAGATCTTTCTTTCGGTGGATGGTCACACTTGATGCATAGGGAAAACCAGACCTTTGTCCCTCATGGTGGGCTGTGTCAAGAGTGGTTGGTATTATAAGAGAGGTGTGCTGAAAAAGGTTCTGAAATGTTACGTAAGAGAGGCACACAGTGTTGGAGGATTTTGTGGAGCAGACAATAAAAGAGATCTTATATCATTGGTAAAATCTATTTAAAAATATATTATTACATATGGTGTTTTAATGTAACTTCAACAATAAAATAGATTTTATCATGGATACAGAATCTCTATAATTGTCTGCGCCATTTGCAAAATCCACAAGTATTGTGTCTCTCTACATTAGTGATTAATTGAACAGGCCCGAGTTCGGTTCGAATTTGAACTTTAGAACATAACATCCAAAAAGTTTTAATTCAAACTCAATGCAAGTCTATGGGGGTAGAACTTTCAAAAACAATTGTCCCCTTTAAGAGGGCTTATATGCAAGTTATTGGCCATAAAAGGTGTATGGGGATCCAGGCACTGCCCTGGGGGACAGGAATCAATGAAAAAAAACCTTTCAAAAATACCGTTTTTAAAGGAGCAGTGGTTTTAACATCACTTAAAGGGTAACAATAAAAATTTAAAATTCCTTTAAATATCATGGGGGGTCCCCTTGAACTGTCTGTAAAGTGGCAAATCTGTAACCGCCAAATCCAGACACGTTCATCGGATTGCCAGACAGAGAAGCATGATTCGTCACTCCAGAGAACATGTCTCCACTTTGTTAGAGTCCAGCGGTGGCGTGCTTTACACAACTGCATCCGACGCTTTGCATTGCACTTGGTGATGTAAGGCTTGGATGCAGCTGCTCGGCCATGGAAACCCATTCCGTGAAGCTCTCTACACACTGTTGCTGTGCCAATCTGAAGATCACACGAAGTTTGAAGGTCTGCAGCTATTGACTCGTGGCCTACCACTTCGTGGCTGAGTTGCTGTTGTTCCCAGTTGTTATAATACCACTAACAGTTGACCGTGGAATATTTAGTAGCAAGGAAATTTCACGGATGGACTTATTGCACAGGTGGCAACCTATCACGGTACCACGCTTGAATTCACTGAGCTCCTGAGAGCGACCCATTCTATCACAAATGTTTGTAGAACCATCTGCATGCCTAGGTGCTTGATTTTTTACACCTGTTACAGATATATACCTATACACTCAGTTGGAGGACAATTTCTGAAGTAATTGGAGGGTACACGTGTCAGGATATACAGTATACAGAATTATCATAGGTTGGAGGGTTAAAGTCATTATAGGAGATCTCCTGATGAAAAGTTGCATGTCTGCACGATTGTTCATAAGACTCATTAGGCAACTGGAATGTGCATGCATGGTGGTGGCAGGGGCTTAACAAGAGCCATAGCATTCCATGGCTTTGGGTAGCAGGGGGGGCCCAATAAAGGTGGCTGATTTAAAAATCCTGTATAATAATAATTAGGAAAACATCTCCTATAGACTGAAATTTACCCCGTATGTCTAATGCAGGGATAGCAAACCTCTTGCCCTCAAGCTGTGGTGGAACTATAAATCCCATGATGCATCTCTCTTCAGAGTCATGTCTGTGGCTGTGAGAATCTTCCAATGCCTCACCACAGCTGGAGGGCCGGAGGTTTGCTACCCCTGGTCTAATGCATTCACAAATCCCAGTATCACCTCTGTTAAAACCTTATAGGAGGGCTGAGGGTTGTGCTTCTACAAAACGTTTTACTGAATCTAGAGTTTAAAGAAGTTTGTATTAGAGTTGAAGAGTAAGTGTGTGCAAGAGCATTAATAATTTTATCATAATATAAAATATCATTATAGTTATTATCATTAGTGCTACTTTTATCCCCAGCACTGTTCCCTAGTAGTGTACTGACTATGCTGACAGCTCTGCTACTGCTTCATACATACTTCATGTGAGAATCACTGTTGGCCGCTACAGAGCGAGTCAGGGGGCCCCGAAGTTTTGCTATGTGGCCTTGTGATATGTAGCTAGGACCCTAGGTGGTTGTAATGATATTCATACTCATATCATTCATGGACAACAAAAATTGGATGACTATAGAAAACCATGACTCCTGTGTGCCAAGGGCAGCAAAGATTCCAAGAATCCTGCTTATGGTAAATAAAGGAACATAGTGTCCCAGACTTACAAGGCAGACATTGCAGATATGTTCTGTTTGTACTGAAATCCTTTTAGTTTATATGCATTCCGGTACTGTATAATTACTATTTATACATAACCTTTTCCTTTTATTTTGTTTTCAGTTTCAAACATCAACATGGATGTTACCCCCGTACAAAGCATAGTGAGGATAGGGAACAATATCACCATTATATGCACAGTTACCGATAATGAAATTTTGAATTTTACCTGGGAGTATCCAGGTAGGAAGGTGAGTATTATGCTAAATCAAAATTGGCTCCTGTGTGCCTCCATTTTAGGGTGGATGCTGGTGCATTGAGTCACCTCAAATTTCTTTACATTGTTTATGGTTCCTAATGGTAACAGCTGCCCATTTACTATGTAAAAGTGAGACTACAAAAAATCCTTATTTTGAATTGCTCTCTATGCCGTTCTGCCCCAGAAAACACAGGTAACAGACAGCAGCTAAATCAACTCTTTCCTACGGAATCGAAAAATAAATAAAGCTGAACTCCAACCTTATCTTACAAAGTCGTACAGACTCCTCCTTGTACTGAAAATGGCTTACTCTGATTTCACTTCACATTGTGAGTTTCTCACAGTGTGCACTAGAAGCTGCAGGAAGTCAGATAGCGCCCATCTCATTTCCCGGCTGGAGAACATCCAGAATCATTTAGCTATTGCCTCCCCACCCTTATTGTCCTCTCCCTTTCAATCATGGAGGCTCAGCATCACATGTGGGCATTACCTAAGGTGATCTGTGAAAATAAAATCTGCCTAGGAATGCCAGCTTCTCCAGACTGACATTCACCCACCAAGGCATTTTAATATTTGTATAACTCCTCCCAAGAATCAGCCAACTGCTTGTATCAGGGCTCCTAAGAGGAGTACTGCGGCAGGGTGCCGTAATGCTTCAAGAAAGCTATGTACAGCACCCTGCTGGCCCCGTCCACCAGCCATGATTGACTTACATTACACAGAAAAGCACAAAGACTCAGTTTTTATGTCTCTAAGTCTAAAATGAGGTATGTAACGAAAATTGAAAGTTTTTGTTTGAAAATGTTATTAACATGTTGATGAGGAAGGGGGCAAGAGAAACTAGGCATGGGCAAATATATATAAACAGATTAAACTCCTGCTTTCAAGTGGCAGTGATGATTGTACTGTTTTTTGTTTCTTTTCTAATAGGCAGGAAGACCTGCTATTGTGGGGCACTCAATTATACCTGGTACTTCTGTAAATTCTGTCTTGAATATACTAGACGCCAATGAAGAGGACTCAGGAACCTATACTTGCACAGTGGAGGAAGTTTATACTGGGGACTTTGAAATGAAGAATGTCAACATTACTGTCGTTGGTATGAAAAAAATTATTTTTAAAGAAAATGTTTAAAAAATATATTAGTGTTTGGCCAGCTTAATACTGGTTGCATCCTCAAGCTGTTTTGTGTACAATCACTGTCTCTTAACACTGTTTGGCAATTAAGTGTGCTATTGACCTTTATGTTGGCGAGTGCTCTGGGGGGTTCTGGCACAAAAGTTGTCTATATACTTAAATGGAATACTGCAGCATGACAGCTCCCATGCTGTGGTTACCACAGTGGCCCTCCAAAGCATGAGTATGCCCTGATTTCCCAGTGTTTTGCCTGCTTAAATGATGCCCGCATACAAAGAGCAACAGCTGAATCGGGATGCGCATGAGATCTTCAATGGGAGACACACCAGACTTGTTCCTGAGCTCCATATCTGCTCCTGGAACCTCCATCAGTCATAAGGCTTCTCTGGTTCTCCTCCCTAGACAATTCCAGACCTCTCCTGGGTCCACATGTGGCCTCCTCCAGGCTTGGCTTAAGGCCTAGTCAGCTTCTCCAATATTGCACACCCCACACAGGCAGGTACAATCAACAGCAGAACACCTGGAATTAACCAGATAATAACCAACTACAAATCAGCTAGACTGATTACAGCACTAGCAAAGCTGAATTTCTAGCAGCCACTCCACTGAAGGTATATGCAGTATATGTTGGCCCCCATCACCTTTTGTGAGGTGGCTACTGGACATTTAGTGATCGCCAGGGCTGTAGTCAGCCTGGTTGGATTATAGTTGGCATTTATCTTGTTAAATCCAGGTGCCCTGGCATTGATTGTACCTACCTGGGTGGAGTGCGACTCTACTATATACTGTGTGCACAATTATTAGGCAAATTAGTATCTTGACCAAATCACCATTTGTATGCATATTGTCCTAATTCCGAGCTGTATAAGCTCGAAGGCTTATTGGATTTAAGCATATTAGGTGATGTGCATTTGTGTAATGAGGGAGGGTGTGGGCCTTAGGAGATTAACACCCTATCTCAAGGTGTGCATAATAATTAGGCAGCTTCTTTTCCTCAGGCAAAATGGGCCAAAAAAGAGATTTAACTAACTCTGAAAAGTCAAAAATTGTAAAAAGTCTTTCAGAGGGATGCAGCACTCTTGAAATTGCTAAGCTATTGGGGTGTGATCACAGAACCAGGAAATGTTTTATTGCAAATAGTCAAAATGGTCGCTAGAAACATGTTGAGAAAGAAAGACGCAAGTTAACTGCCAAAGATTTGAGAAGAATCAAATGTGAAGCTATCAAGAAACCCATTATCCTCTAGTGCTGTCATATTCCAGAACTGCAACCTACCTGGAGTGCCCAGAAGTAAAAGGTGTTCAGTGCTCAAAGACATGGCTAAGGTAAGGAAGGCTGAAATGCTCCATCGCATGAATTGAAGTACTCCACTGCGTGTCTAGCCAGTGAAGGCCTTAAAGATGAAAGAATAATGACATGGCCCCCTTCCTCACCTGACCCAAACCCTATTGAGAACTTGTGGTTGCTGCTGCACAAAAAATTGATTGGCCACAGATGAAGAAACTGGCAGACTCCATGGATGGAAGGCTGATGACTGTTATTGAAAAGAAGGGGGGCTATATTGGTCACTGATTTTGTTTTTGAAAATGTCAGAAATGTTTATTTGTAAATTTTTAGTTGTTTGTTTATTATTCTCACTTTAACAGATAAAAATAAACAAGTGAGATGGGAAAATTTTCGTTTTCCATTAAGTGGCATAATAATCCTGCACACTAAGGCCTGGTTCACACCTGGGCGCTTTACAGCGCGTTCCTACGCCCTGTAAAACGCTCAACATTTGAAAACCAATAATTGCATATGTGCATGGTTTCCACCTTGGCGTTTTACAGTGCGTAGGAACGCGCTGAAAAACGCCCTACGCCCAAAGAAGTACAGGAGCTTCTTTGGGGCGTTTTTCCACGCGTTTCCATTGGTATTCCCGAGTGTGGATCCGGGTTAACAAAGCGGTAACCCCGAGCCACACTCGGCAATACAGCATACAGGTCTTACCTTGTCCGCGATCCCTGCTGTGTCCTCCGGCGGCTGCCGACTTCCGGGTTCCGTCCCTTGCGAGCGGCCGCATGCTGGAAGTTTGAAAGTGAAAAAAAGGAAAAAAAAATCATACCGCCAGTGAAACGCGCGTTTTACTGAACGGAAAAACGTGCAAAAAACACAGAAAAAATATGCTCAGGTGTGAACCCAGCCTAATAGTTGCCCAATAATTATGCACACCCAAATATTCTCCTAAGAAAGTCAAAACCTCACTTTTACTTACTTAAATATTCAGGTTTGAGGTCTATTAACATTTGGGATTACCGAGAGCACTGTAGTTGTTCAATAATAAAATGAATCCTCAAAAATACAACTTGCCTAATAATTGTGCACACAGTGTAGTGTGGGACAGCAAATGAGGGGCACTGTGAGTGTATGTACAGAAAAGCAGCCAATCACTGGGTTTCTTTCAACCAGTGTTGCATGCTGGGATAGGGTACATATACTGGAGGGAATGGCCACTGTGAGTGTATGTACAGAAAAGCAGCCAATCACTGGGTTTCTTTCAACCAGTGTTGCATGCTGGGATAGGGTACATATACTGGAGGGAATGGCCATGTGCTCAGACTAGTTTGGGACCAGCCATGGATTAGCACAGGACTGGGTGCTGTTCAGCCACCCCCCCTGGCTAGGCCTGAGACCTGGGGGTGGGCAGAGGCTGGCGTGTGTGAAGTGTTTCCTTGGGCCTCTTGTATGGAGGAGGCCTGTTCTGTTGCCAGAGGAGATAAACCAGGAAAGTGGATGGCTACTGAGGGTACTTCTAGTAGTAGAATCTAGAGGACCTCAGGAGCAAGTCTGGTGTCTCTCCTGCTGAGGATTTTTGCTCACCCCTGCTCATCTGCTACTCAAATTACTGTTCATTGTAATACGAATGGATCCACACTGATATGCTAAAAAGGTCTGGGGATTCAGGAGTGACCTTGGAAAGTCAGTATTCCCCTGGCTGCGGCCCAGGGGAGGGATGTATATAAGTTGTCTGATCCTCCTAGGCTGACTGCCTAGGGAGGGTGGCCATGTGTTTAGACTAAGGTTTGGGACCTTGGCCTAGTGGGGGAAGCGTTGGAATGGAGATGTCCTGGAGGAATTTCAATATGCAAATGGAGCCTGAGAAGCTTGGTCCTTCACTGAAGTATGGCAAACCTCTTCCCAATGGACAGGTAGCTCTAACTTCAACTATTATACAGCCAGGAGTTAAAGTCACAGATCGCCTTGTTGGCACAGTTCTCTATCTGTGATGGTTGCAAGTAAATTGTTCTATCATTTTGGAGTTTACAACATAAAAGGTGTCCTGTGTCCTAACCCTCGCCCCTGAGGTTGTTAAATAAAAGTTCATCCAGCATCAGAACATCAGTGTGGAAGTCAGTTTATTGGTTGCCCATACGGGCTAGGGGGGCCCAATTTATCCAGCATTTGTTTCACCTTCATAACTGTTGCATCTTTTAATCTCTTCTAGAAAAGGGATATGTGAAGATGCACATGGAAGGCACTTTACAGCCCACTAACCTACATCAAAGCACCTCCGTTGTGGTATCCATTGAGGCTTACCCCAAACCCACAATCGAGTGGCTAAAAGGTGACCATCTCCTGCCTGGAAATAATAACAGCCTTGTGAACATTGTGACTGAAAAATCTGCTGAGAACACGTGAGTTTTTAATATTTGTCTTTTTTGTTGTCCTGTTTTTCTGGGGATTCAATTGTAAAAACTGAAACAAAGCAAAAATAATTAGTAGCTAATAGTAATAAGTGTCTAGTGGCATCAGCCCAGAAAAAAATTAGTAGGAGGGGATAAGGAAGTGCAAAGAAAAGAATGCCATGATGAAATGGGGTGAATAATTTGATTAGAGGGGCTGTCTTCTTCAGAATACAGTTGTTGAAAAAGTGATTCTGATTATTTATATCAATTCCAACTTATTAAAATATGAACTGAGTTTGTCATGGGGACATACTGCTTCCAATGACCTAAGATTCAGCATTGGCAGGACGGTTTGGGAGGCTGCTGCAGAAGGCTCAGTGTCCCCTTGATCACTTAGCTGCCCTCAAAACCCACCGCATACCCTAGCCAGCAAACACATTGCCAGTTACATTGTGATTAGCCTGCCTCACCTGTTCCAATCCTTGCTGCAGTTTCATGCTTTGTATTTCCAGACAATGGAGGCTGGAACCAACCTCTCTCCCCCGCACACACCTGCATGCCCTGAACCATTCCCACATACACGCACCCACGTGTCTTGAGCCACTCAGTCACTGGAAACAGTGGCAGAGGCAGGATTTTATTGGGTGAATCTGGCACATTCCCTATGTGCCAAATTCATCCAGTTGAAGACTCTGGTTGACTTGCTTCACCTGCTGGAAAAAGACCCCCAAATAGTGGGTGACTCCCAGGTTTTCTAGGTTTCCTTCTTTAGTAGATTAAACCCAGTGGCCCTGTGACCAATTGTAGTCACATTTAAAATAGGATATTGGAAGATAAAAGTAGAGCTGAAGCCAAAATGTTTTAGTTTTGGATAGTTTCAGGGAGACTTATAACACCTGTCAGCTTTTTTTTGTCATCTGTGCCCATTGGGGACATTTCCCTTCACTTCCTGTCCAATAACCACTACAGAAAGTATGATGAAATCCCTCCTAAATTAGGGAAATATCTGGTGGTCAGAAGGGTCACCAGAACTGTCCCCATTGAAAGATCTCTCCACTATTCCTGTTCTGGTGACAACCTAAAATTTGTGATTTGCTTTTACTTTCAGTAATAATGGTCACCAGGACAACAGGTTACTAACAGGTTACTAACAGGTTCACAGAGAGCAAAAAACCTGACAGGGCTTCTAATTCCTCTCCACTCTAGCCAAAACATAAAAAAAAATGCTTAAGTCAGGTTACACTATAAGCACACAGTTTTAATGCCAACATTGTGTTTTGTCTTAGGATGAAAGGTATGCCGGAGATGTTGTCTGTTTGAGCCGAACGCGAGTTTGACTCGAACATAAGCAGTTTGTGTGTTCGGCGAAACACACGAACTATCAGGCGGCACTGTGAACTGTCACAAGGCGATGTGCCTTGTGATCCCTGATTGGCTAAAGCCTTGCACCTGACCACAGGTCAGGTGCAAGACTTTGCCCAATCAGGGCACAGAGAACTGTGAGAGCCATGATTAGCCATGATGTCTCTGCCCAATCATGGTTCAGCTGTTAAACTGTAAACAGGGACAGCTAGCTCCGCCCAACCATTTATATGTTACCGGCATCTGTCAACTGCCATTCTGCGGCTGGTGTTCGTTGCAAGTGAACGGTCGGCGTTTAAAAAAAAAAATATTTCTATTTATTTTTTATTGTTTTATTTTAAATTTTGTCGAGTTGTCATCATCGTGGACAACGCTGGACATCGTGATTAAATGGATCCATTTTTGTTTTTTGTTTTTTTAATTTAAGACTTGTCAAAAACTTGTCTTTTGTTTTGTTTTTTTTCAAATAAAGGATTTTTTCAAAAGTGTGGCCTCTTTTGTAAAACTTTTATTTAACCCTTTAGTGAATGGGTAAGGGTACCTAGTAGTAGTAAGTACCCCTTCTTCATTCACAAGGGGGGGAGGCTGCATCTGGGTGCCCATTTATTAAAGGGGTACCCTGATGTGAATAAGCCCCCTGCCCGCACCCCCATAACCAACACCCCAGGGCTTGTGGAGGAGAGGCCCTTGTCCCCATCGGCAAAGGGACAAGGTGCTTTTCCAGGGGCGACCCTGGAAAATCACCCTTCCAGTGCCGGGGGCATGTGGCCTGGTATGGGTGGGAGGGAGGTGGGTCACTCACTCGTCCCTGCCTTTCCGGCCCTGCCAGGCCTATGCTCGGATCAAGGGTCTGGTATGGAATTTTATGGGGGACCCCGCGTTTTTTTCCCCCATTTGTGGTGGTGGGGTTCCTCCTTAAAATTCCTACCAGACCTATAGGGTCTGGTAGGACTTTAAGGGGGAACCCCACACATTTTTTTTTTTTTTACATGGGGTCCCTCCTAAATATTCCTAACAGACCTTAAAGGTCTGGTATGACTTTTGGGGGGAGCCCCATGCTTCTTTTTTTTTTTTTAAACATTCCTACTAGACCTAAAGGGTCTGGTATTGTTTGGGAGAGTGAACCGCACGTTTTAAAAAATAAATAAATAAATGTTTGTTTTTTTTCTTTAGAAATGTCATTTTTGCTGCAACAGGTTCTGTACATCATACAGATGCACCACTTTACAGGCAGGTTAAGGGGACCCCCCAGGCACGATATTTAAAGGAATATTTAAATGTTTTATTGTTACCCTTTAAGCAATGTTAAAATCAGTGCTACTTTAAATATGGTATCTTTAAAAGGTTTTTTTTCATTGATTCCTGTCCCCCAGGGCAGTACCTGGATCCCCATACACTTTTTATGGCCAATAAATTGCAAATAAGGCTTCAAAAAGGGGGCATTTGATTTTCAATGTTCTACCCACATAGACTTGCATTGAGTTCGAGTTCGAATTCAAACTTTTCCCATGCTCGAAAGTTCGAATTCGAACCGAACATGGGGGTGTTCGGCTCATCACTAAGACAGACTAGGGATTTACGTCATGCCTGATGAAGGGACCCTAAGTGGCCTTGAAACGTTGTTTTATGACAATTGTGTGTACATCTTCTTGTTGAAGATTTTACTTTGGTGTGCTGATGATATACTTTACTACTTAGACTGGGGATTTAGGGACAGCTTAATGCTGCTTTGATATGGTAGAACTGGGATGAGTTTATGCTGATTTTTCCTAAAGCAACCAACATCATATTTTTAGGTATGTTACTACACTGTCACTTGTGAGAGTCAAAGAAAAAGATGGAGGCTCTTACACGCTGAAAGTTTACAATGAAGATGATTATGGAGAGATGACATTTGACCTTCAGATAAATGGTGAGTTATTCTTACTTTTGTCACCATATGTAAACAAAATCTTAAGCCTGTCCTATAGGTGTAAAATTGTCCTTCCAGTATCTAAACAAGTCTGCACGAATAAATCCTTGCATGTCACAATATACAGAAACTGTATTAAAGAAAACGTACCTTTTTTTACTAAAATCATCTTTAGCTCCAGACAATAGACTTTGCCTAAGCTAACATGATGTCATCAGCCTGCTGCAGGCAGGAGCAAGGCTATCCTCAGTCTCCTCACCCCTGGTGATCAAACATTGAAACTTTGTAGCAATTCACATGGTGAACAGGCACCAGGATTTACATGACTGAGTCAGCTCTGTGCCATCATTTCAGTCCAGGAAGTAGCTGCTGACTCTGGATGATGTCAGATCAAAGGTGGTGCTGCCCTTCTACAGAGAAAAGTAAATCAAGGCTAGGGTTGCCACCTGTCCAGGATTCACCCGGACAGTTCGGGTTTTGAAAGCTGTGTCCAGGTTTCATGGCACCAGGAACCCGGGCACAAGGTGCAGGCAGACAGGAGCAACCAAAATTAAGATAGGGGCTACTGGCCCCCCACTGAAAATAGTCTCAACTGTGATATTTACACATTAATGGGTGGTGCCTTTTACGTATGAATACGTCACGCCTCATTCTCCCCAAAAAATAATTCTGCGTTTCGCTAATGTTCAGGTTGCGCTTGAAGAAAAGGTGGCAACCCTAATCAAGGCACTGTCAGGGGTAGTACTGTGATCTCTGTGAGAGGCAATACAAACATAATACACTTACATTTGTGGTGCATGTGATTGTAAATCTCATATTTAGCCAGCAGATGAAGCTCACATGTATCCAAGTACAACATTAGTGTCCGAGTGGCTAAAAAAAAGACCTTTCTGGAAAGTTCTATGTAGTGTGAGACAGTGAGTAACCCCCATATTAATGATCTAGTTAACAGACAGTTCAAATAAACTTTTTTGACCTTAAATTTGTTAGATAAGATTTAGTTATTACAAACGGAAAAAAGACACAGCGCTCTCATGGGAGTGTGGGGTATGTGTGGGAATGGTCGATGAGGATTGCTGCTCTACAAACAGGGGGAGAAGCCTGTGAACATAGAAATGAGGCAAATGAGAGCGCAAATCCTGGGAATGTCAAGGGTGTAGGGACAACCAATGTTTATGTGTTACAGGTAGAAAGTTCATCAATAAGCAAAACATTCTGGACTTACTTGGGGAGCCGAGGGTCCTGACAGGGGGGGCCCCAATGAGGTTATGGCGATCCGAGACGTATTCAGAGTATCCCGGGAGTGAAGGGATGAATGATACGCCAATTTGTACTGAGTGCTGTGTGTGCCGAGGGGCTGGTGGAGAGGCTGCCTCTAATCTTAATTGCAGTGTTTTTAGGACGTGAAGGAGTGGAAGTGACAAAAAAGCTTTTTTGTCACTTCCACTCCTAGCTGAAGGGCTGGTGGAGAGGTTGCCTCTAGTCTTAATCGCAGTGTTTTTAGGACGTAAAGGAGTGAAGTCCATAATGTTTTGTTTATTGATGATTTTTTGTTCTTTCTAGCTGTAACACGTAAACATTGGTTGTCCCTACACGCTTTACACTCCCAGGATTTGCGCTCTCATTTGCCTCATTTCCAAGATTTAGTTATTAACTTCCTAAAGAATATGGACACTGCAAGTGCAACATGTCTCTTCCTGGATGCCACAATCCTGCTGTTTTCACAAATTCCCTTCCTAGCAATGAGTGACCCAAAATAAATTTTACTAGGGATGCACCAATACCGGTATTTTGGTGCAGAGTACGAGTACCGATATTTTTTTCCCAGTACTCGCCGATACCAATTACCGAGTACCGGAAGTCCCATTTAGGAAGCCAGGTGGCGTGTAATGACTCACCACCTGGCTTCCTGATTAGCCGGGAAGCATGGGCAGCGTGTAAAGACTCACCATCCGGCTTCCTGATTAACAAGAAAGCCGTCCTATGCTTCTCATCACTATGTGACGAGAAAGCATGGAGCCGGCTTGCTGGCCAATCATGGAAGCCGGGCGCCGTGTAATTAAACTTGTATTAAACTTATTCAGTTCTAAAACATTTCTAAAACTTTGACATGTTTAATAATTAACTTAAACACTCTTTTTTTTATAAAACCCGGCTTGTAATTTACATTTAAAGGCCCTTTAATTTGCTCGATTCGAGTTTAAGGCGGTTTGTCATAAGTTCAGATCATGATGCCTGTTCCTATTCAGAGATGTTACGGCTGAAGTACAAAGTCAAATGTTTAGAGCTGAACCAGTAATTACGAGAATATCTTTTTGGAGTAAACATTTGTGACCGAACCATCATGGATTTTACAAGGCTGATTTATTAATGCTGTAGAAAGTTCAATAGCCCAGTAAAGTTTCTGGCTTTAAACCAATCAATATATATCATGATGAGTTTCTGATGTTAACTCTTACTGGATAGGTATAGTGGCGGTTCAAACAGTAAAATGTCTCCACCGTAACTACAAATGGCTTTACCATGGTTGTTTGTTTTTGTTATTTAGTGCCAGTTGAAATAAAGGAAATGATTGACAGCCATCCTATAGGTGGCGGACAGATAGTGACATGTGTTGGCAAAGGGATGCCAAGGCCAGAGATCACTTGGTACATCTGTACTGAGATAAAAAGGTATGTTTCTATTACTGCAGTGCTTACTGAAAGCAAATATAGAGCTTGCCTTTACCAACCTGTCTAAAAATTCTGCTTCCTTGGTTGTCATGCTAATACTATTTATTCAGTACTTTAAATCACTGATTAGGAATATGCATGCAGATTGGGAGTTTTGACTTTGCTCACTGTGTACTTTTTTGTGACAGTGCCTAAAAAACTATTAAAGACAACGAAAACCAGGTAACTAACATCTTTAAGCTGAGCTGATGAGTGAAAATCACTCATCCTCATAGTTCGAGCCGACGTGTGACAACAAAACTGTCACATGTTGGCTCAATAGATCGGGATGTGAGCGAACACATACCGTCGCTCGCTCACTTCTCGAACCTGTCCCTGCAGAGAACCGTGACTGTCTCCCTGCAGGGATTTCCCCCCTCCTCTGTCCGATCCTCCAGCGCTGACTGGCGGAACGGACGGGGCGGGTACAGATGGCTCTGCCTTTAGATAGGCAGAGCCAGCTGTCAATCACGCAGCTTGGTGGATCCAGACAGTAATGTCGGGGTCCGTCCCGGCTGCGGCTGTCTCAGTATACCGCGAGCTGTAGCTGGCTGTATACTGAGCTTTGGGTGACCCTGGGGAGAACTACTGGGAAAAACACTGACCCCATAGTTCTCCTTTAATTTAAAAACGAACACAAGGCTGTGGGGGTAGAACCCCAAGATTCAGTTAGGTGGGAAAGGGTTGCAATCTGTCCATGGGCTTGGTCATGAAGAACAGTCTCTACGACTAAGCCCATGATTGGGTGAAATGCATCAGAGGAGGTGGACCTTTGGTGGAACACCAGTGATGTAGTATAACCTTCAATACACTGTCCTTCAAAAACTTAATTTTTACTTCTGAACTGTAAAAACAATGTCTTGTCACTAACAGGTGCAGCAGTAAGGGGTGGAGCCAGTGGGAGCCTCTACACAACACAACCGCACACATTAAGTATGATATGAACATCAGTTATTCACAACCAGAAGAGTTTGGAACCTACCGTGTCAAGAGCATTCTCCATGTCCGCGGTATTGCAGATTCTCTCTCTTTGCGCTGCCTTGGCGACAATGATCTTGGAATGAGCCACCATCGTGACGTCACCCTAGTGCCTCATAGTAAGTCAATAATCACATAGATGTTTGTTAAAGTGTATGTAAACCCTAACAATTAACTTTTCTTACTTGCTCTTTTTTGATCTGTTAAATATAACATTGGAAGTATTTTGTTATATCTGTTTGATTGGTGCAAAAAAAAAATGTTTTTGAATGAACCATAATTGGTTAAACCTCTGCACACTAAACTAGAAGGTCTAGTTTGCAGGATCTGTGATTTTGTTGCACATTTTGTAAAGCACATTGAACTGGCCAGCTGTACGTAGTAATCCTTTTATCAGACCAATGTCTAGTCCACTTAATCATGATACATTTCTGTATATAAGGCAAATGTGCTTAATTCCACCAAATAATGGTGCTTTACAAAATATATGTCTTTCTATTCTATATCTACAGATTTGCCTTTCAAAGTTGTGTTCATATCAGCTATTGTGGGACTGATCGTCTTGGCTGTTATATTCCTTATAATACTTATCGTTCTGTGGAAAAAGGTAAGTACTGCCCATCTTCTAATATTAATTAAACATTGTGTTGTGACACTTATGGTGACAAGCAAATGTAACCATATTTCTGCAATATGTGCAGTTTTGTCTGAGCCATTCATGGCACAGAGCAAATATGATATGATTGTATCTAGGGATGTCCAGATACCAGTTCAGATACCTGTTCAGATACAAGTGCTGATACTTGGCATTTTCACGAGAACTACCAGGGTTGCAGCGGTTGCAGCTGGGACCTGGCTCTGGCGCTCCACCACTGTCCTGAAATCATTAGTCTGTATTGTTTTAGAAAAACTGTCACATGACAATAAACAAAAATGTATCAGTACTTGTATCTGTGAGGACTTGGACAAGTATCAGTACTTGTACTTGAAAAAATGGTATTGGTGCATCCCCAATATATATTTATAAAACAAATCATACAATAAAACAGAGATGCACAAATCCCAGGAGCTCCGTGTGCTCCTTACAAATGACAGCTGCCTCCTAACTTTTGAATTTTTCTCTAGTCTAGTCTTGGAGCTGGAAAGGTATCTGTACATGTACTTGTACTGAGTAAGATACTTGGTATCTGAACATCCAATACTTTTATTCCTGCAGTAGATTCACTTTGATTTAATTAACATTTTTTATTAATGATAGCAAACTGCATGATGCATAGTGTTTTAAGGCAAAAAAATCTATCAGAACTAATATTTCAGTAGATGGAAGGCAATAGTTGTTAGCTAAAAGTGGATAGGCTTCTATAGATAAATACATGTAAGGGCTCTTTTAATCACTGTCCATGCTAAACAATCAGAATATACCTTGTATTTTGTAATTATAGCTGTAATTAAGAGTGCTTACATCTTAATGGCAGCTATGGCCAACACAAGTGTAGCGCTATTGGTCCTAATCTTTTGGGTTCCTCGTCTTTCAAAAAATTTGTGAATAATATTTAAGCCCAGGGCTGGATTTACCATAAGGCACAGTAGGCACTAGATGTTTTTTCATTATAAATACAAATACAGTCATCTCATATACAAATGTTATTGCTTTAGGCTTCAAAGGTTCTTTGCCTGCAGGCTCTCTTGATGGATATCCGGTTGTTTAGATGTGACCACTGATGTGGTCCAAAAAGAGGTCTTTTTAACAGCTGTTAGAATGATCTTGCAGTCCTAGAACTGCTATCTGTTCAAAGCAATGTGTCCAGCCAAAGGTACATACTTCACCAGTTTTTTTTTTCATCTGGAGCGAATGATATTTTAAATATTCTAGTCTTGGATTGAGTAATGGTCAACAGTTTTGTTTCCTGGTCTACAGAAACCTCGCTATGAAATACGATGGAAAGTCATTGAGTCGGTCAGCTCTGATGGCCATGAGTACATCTATGTGGACCCTCTGCAACTTCCATATGACTCCAGCTGGGAGATTTCAAGAGACAAATTAGTTTTAGGTAAATGCTAAATGCAACATTAGTGGACATTGTACAGGATAGGGCTCTTCTAAAAGTTAACACATTGTGGAAAACTTCACTACTGACAAGTGTGGAGCTTACAGTTTGAGAACCTCAACCAATAAGCTGTTTTAATAGTGCAATTACTCATCAAAGGAAAATACGTATTCAAGGCCAGGGTGGGTCACACCAAAATAAGCTGACAAGCTCAGAATAGTGGTAAATCGGTCAGTGAAGTGATAGAGAGAAACAACATTGTAAACCCTAATTAAAGCATAAATCCACCCAAGCAGTCCTGTAGACTCAAAAGCAAGTGAGAAGATATCTTACCAATGTGTTCGAAATCCCCTTTTAGGCAGTTGTCAGAAGATTTCCCCTCATTTCCTGTTCTGGTAGCAAAATTATGCATTTACATATCACTTTAATTTACGGTGAAACCTGAAAGTAGTTCTAACCGTTCACCACTTTCTCTAAAACGACAAAAAAAATTGCCTTTCCTTGTACTTTAAATAGAACGTTAACATATTTATGTAAGATCGCAGTATCTTTTAAACATATGGCTCTGGAACTGCATCATCTCCCACTTAAATGACACTCCACATGTTAATATTCCCAAGCATATGCTGCCTAGAAACTATCATTTATAAATATATATTTTCATAAGCGGTGTAACTTTAAATGACATTTCAATATTTAACTGCCACCATTTCATGTTAAATCAACGTTAACATTTCAGGATTACGGCTGCAGCGGATGAATCAATACTTGGCTCTATTTTAAGGCCCAAATTCTCTGTTTTGGCAAAAGAAGCAAGAGTCAATGTCAGCTGTGTTTTTTATTTGTAAGGGCTCATTTACACGGGTGCGCACATGCCTCTAGCATGCACGCTGGGGTCCCAGGAAGGATAGGTGCTACGTGTAATTGCATGCAGCAGCCTATAGGACGTTGCTATACAAGGTTACACGCAGACCCAAACCTGCACATCTGTGTGGGTCTGGGCCCCGGCACCTGGATGCACACTGTTTGCCTCCAAGTGTAGGCACCTGGACCCACACGCATGTGCAGGTTTGGGCCTGTGTGCAACTGTGTGCAGACGCATCCTCCCATAGGATGTACATTGAGGAAGTACAGCCTATGGGCATGTTCAATAAGTAAGTTTACAGCTTTTAGATCGATGTGGCTATAAGCAGTGGAATAGAATGTATGGAAATTCAACACAGAAATACATATTTATTTTTATTTTTTTTACCCTAGATATCCTTTATTTTTTTCTTGTAGTTTTTGGCCTGGAGTTCTGCTTTAAGTGATATCTCAGGTTGTGTATTTACCGGCTTGTATCTGGTGTCCTCCAGATCGGCCTGAGGCCAGGTTCACACCTGTGCGATCCGTGATTATTTTCTAATAGCAGCCAAGTCCCGCCGGGCAGATCGCACGGTTTCCTGCCGCGATTCCGCCTGTGCAATCAAACACGGCCGCGCGTCCTGTGTCGCAAAAAAAAGGTTCCTTAATTCTGCAGAAAGCATATTGCTAAGTGCTTGAGAACATGGGGGTGGGGGGGAATTATCCAGCAATTGGTCTCTCGTTCTCTCTCTCTCGCCCCTTGTCAATACTATGATGGCTGTGAACCCTGTGCCCTTAACAATACTACAAGTGCATTTTTATATCAATATGCTTTAAAAGTCAGTATTTTAGTCCTGTCAAGGTTACCTAGCAACAACTATGACATGACACAATCCAACTGCTTCCACTTTTAATGTTACATTGTTCGTTCTCTGCACATTGGTCTATAATAATAGTACAGTTGTCATCACCTCTCTTCACACATTCCAGAACCAGTTCACTTAAAGCTGTATTGACTCATTAGCGGATTTATTGCCAGCTGCTCGTTATACTTTATTACTATTGGAAAAAGAGGCAGCATGTAGCTACATAATGGGAATGCAAATTGCTTCTTTGCAGTTAGATGGCAATAGTAAAATGAAACTGCAGTTATCATTATCTCAATGTGTTGCAAATTAGACTGCAAGGCAATGAACGGGCAAAGAGTGCCCCCAAGTGGTCAATATTGAGTATGGCGATGAGCCAGCAAGATTCAAATGAAATCAAACAGTACTTCCCCGACAATGCATAATATGTCATTTTAATGTAATTATAAACAGCACCTCTAAACCATTAATGCCACACGTTTCCATAAAAAAATTTTTATACATTCTCATAGCCTCTCACTTTCATATACTTTCCAACTTTCTAAGAGGAACAACTTTTAACACAGGCAAAGTACTATCACTATAAAAGTTTATAACTTTTAAACATAGGCAAAGTACTTGGACTGTGAAGACATAATACGCAAAACAATGTTTGATTCAAGTGTATGTCAAGATAAAACATATTTTCTTAGTTTTGGATAGAGTGGGGATGGAATAAAACCCTTGTCAGATCTGTACTGTTATCTAGCGCACCATTAGAGAGCTTTCCCCTCACTTCCTGTCCTGCTGACAGCATTTTACCAGTCAATTAGTGAGGGGAACTCACCAACAGCAACACGGACAGAAATTAAATTGCTTTTCTTTAAAAAAAATAGGGGAAGGTTAGAACCCCTGTCAGATTCCTATTTCTGTTTGTGTCCCTGTTGAAGACTTTCCTCATTTCCTGTCTGGTTAAATCATTGTCAGCTGGACAGGAAGTGGAGGTAAATTTCTCTGATAAAGCCTTGGATAGCATTAAAAATAACTCCAATAGGGATTCTAATCTTGCCCCATGCTATACAAACTCAAAAAAATGTTTTAGCTTGACATACACTGTAAGCCCACAAATGCTTTTTCATCACTGATTTTCTTTTATATGGGCATTTCAACTTATATTTAATAACATATAAGTCAGATAAACTGTTTAGTGCAGTTTAATACTGATGGTAGTTAAATAATGCATTTTTTAAATAAAAGTCTGGCTCCTTACTGTGTAATTGTAAGGTCACACTATAATAGGGACAACTGAGGAAGAGAGAGAGAGACAGAGGGATTTGGTTCTAAAAAAGGGACCGTGGGATCAAATGACAAAAAGTTGGGAGCTATGTCCCCACTAAACCATATTTTTATAATATAGAGGAGTGTTTTTATTTGTTTTTTTTTCTTTTAATACAGGTCCATTTACTTATTTTTGGTGGGTCAATGTGCATTTTAACATGCATTACATCAAGGTAGCCCATTGAAAATTAATGGGTTGCCAACACACCCTGATGTGGTAAAAATCATACCCTTTTTTTGTGATGCAACCCACTACCGTGCAGTGCCATCCACAACAAAGGCATTTAAAAAAGTGTGTTATGACGCATTCCGGTAATGTGTGCAATAAGGCATGTGTTACAATGCTGTGGAAGTGTAAATGGGTCAAAAAAGTTTTCAATAAAAACAAGAGGATTTATGCTTTAACAATACAAATATTATATGACATTTACTGTATATATAATGTTGCATGAACATTACGTAGGAAGACATAGCTCCCGCACATGTGAACAAGAGTGCAGCTCAGTATACATTCTAAAGACGTTTGTGAAGAGGAAGGTAAGAAGGTTTTATTGTAGAAGAAACATACAGGCATATTTATAAAGCAGTTAATCTGACATTGACCAAACAATAACTGCAGGCAATTTTTCCTGGTGCATGTGTTTTAATGGCAGCAATTGATTCACCATTAGCGAATGTTTGGTGAAAGTCACATTCCCCATAGTATGTCTATTTTGCAATAAAAAACCTTCCTGCTGGTAAATTTTGTTTCTTAGCTAAAGTACCGCTTTAAAGCAGAACTAAACCCACCAAATTAATTGTTTTGCAAAAATTAAGTTTTGAGTACTAAGCAGGTAGACTGATATATAGAGACTTAAAGTGGACCTTTTCCCCCGGGCCCCTTTCATTAAAAACCACATAAGCACTCAGCTCTACATGCAGGTATGAAATCATCTTACATTCATTAGTTAAGACTTTTTTTTCTTTTACTTACAATGACAGTTTTTCCACTTCCTGGTACTTAGGCATTAGTGATATAGTCCATGCCTAAAAAATGATTCCTTGGTGTTCATCTTTCATAGATGTGTATGTGATATATTATTGAAGTATAACTATGGTGCCCTGAAGAAGGGGCCCAAAAACATTTGTGTTTCATGACAAATTGTGAGAATAATTTAATAAGTTGAACTGGGATTCTATTACGTATGTGCTGGTGACTATCTGATCTACACTTTGGAGTTCCACACGGCACCATCCGTGTCATCACTATGAGCACCATCATCTTGTAAGGTCATAATGCTGTATGAGTGCAGGTATCAAATGTACCTATTGGGGATGCAGACTCTGAGGACAGGAAGTAGTGGGAAATCTCTCCAACTGGGGCTCAGAGATTAAGAAAAGCAAATTTTTAGTAAAGTGGGGAAGGGTTAGAATTTCTGACAATGATTTTATTGCTGTCTATGTTTCCTATCCAGTCAGCAACACAATGTTTGCTTACTAATTTAGTGGAGAGGAGACAAACCATTAAATCCAAATACAGCTTGTATATACCAGTGCTGAAGAATTACTAGATGTGCCATAAAACGTATTGATGATGTAATCATTTGTTAAACAAAAATCGAAAAAATTTCCTCATGTACATTCATAAAACAGGAATGCTTCTCCTACAGTACCCTCTGCACTGCCCAGAAGCATAGAAGAAATCTATTGATGCCATTGAGACATGACTATTTATTTGTTTTTTTCAGGTCGTACCCTTGGTTCTGGCGCATTTGGTAGAGTTGTTGAAGCTACAGCTCATGGATTAGGCCACGCTCAGTCCACCACAAAAGTAGCTGTGAAGATGCTGAAATGTGAGTTATGGATAAGATCCTTACATCAAAACACAAAATCGGTCATGTCTGAATCTTCTTAATATGGATGTTTATTTACACATACCCCACTAATATGTTTTCACAGCCACTGCCAGAAGCAGTGAGAAGCAGGCTCTCATGTCTGAACTGAAGATCATGAGTCATCTGGGTCCACACCTAAATATTGTCAACTTGTTAGCTGCATGTACCAAAGGAGGTAATTTATACTGTTCTATTGCTTCTATTTATGTTCGTTTGTGTACTCCAGGGCCTACAGAAGGGCTATTAAGTAGCACAGACATGTTATAATTCATAGCATCTACAGAAGATACTTAATCTAGACATTTAAATGAGTTCACAAAATATATGGGGGTATGGATATTCATAACGACATGTATACACACACATATGTAGGTTGAACTAGATGGACCGGTGTTGTCTTTCACCCTTACAAATGATGTAATTATGTAACTAGACTGTTGCATGCTGATATCTGGTTAAAGGGCCAGTCCACTCAAATCTAACAATTTAGGGGGCATTGTTTGCTAATTGCCATGTACAGACGCATACTCTGGGAGCTCCTGCATTTCACCTAGAGGACCCACATTTCAACCCTAATCAACACACTATAGGGAAAACCAGCAAGAAAGGGATTCAGAGTTCTAGTCTAGTGAGCCTCCCAACCTAGAAAAACTATAAATATATTCCTATGACTTAGAGACAGCAAGGCCTCGCCATGCTCACCCGATATGGCCCTGAAGCATGATAAGTTAAAAGCCTCCTTCCTACCTCTGTCTGAAAAACACAAAGCCTCAGGCTGATCCTTCAGTCACCGTGATTCCTCAGTCTAGGACATCGAACTAGATGATGTTGAATCCACAGGCACTCTCCAATATTTTCCTGAAATATGTTTCTCCACCTGAAAGAAGTGCTTAAAAGAGACATGGCCTCAGTAACTTCTACTATCAAAGCAGTCACAGATAAACAGTTAAAGACAAAAATTCCTACATGCTCTTGTTCCACATGGATGACCTAGAGGACTGACAATAATGCAATTGTTGCCTCAGGAAGATACCTGAGGCAATGAGCCAAGCAGACCTCCTACCAACAATCCAGATGTTGGTAGGTGTTGGAGGGTTAAACCACACAGTAGTTTTGTATCACTTAGAGATTCTGTTGGTGAGATCTCTGTGCTTGGGTTTCTGGGTCTTCACACCTGTAGTAGTTCTCCCTGTTGAGTTTTTTATTTAGTTTATAGCACACAGAATGCTACAGAAGAAGCTGGAACATGCAGAATGGACAGGAACCCCTAAAAAACAAACAATAGTATAATAAGAAATAATAGCAGAATGATTTCACTGTTGTATTGTCAAATACAAATAAGAAACCAGGAGCTTCCTCAGCCTACCAGTGTTTACTTATAACAAAAATACTGAAACTGAGTGGACCCTTTTACTGCACTGAGTTACAAGAAGTAGACAATAAGAAAAAAAAGAAAGCGTTTTTTCCTGTTTTCTCATGAAATTGGGGAAACTATTTTGAAGACCCAGTGTGCTGAAAACACAAGTTACTATGCACAATTATGGTACATAACTGAATAACAATGCACCAGTACTGCTTCTGATCCAAAATACCATGCTGGGTCAAGAACAGTCAGTATAAGCTGAAGTTAACTTTGCTAAATTTAAGTGGATTGAAACTACTGTGTGCTACTCAGGGGCAGATCCAGAATCTAGTCTCGGGATGGGCACTGCCAGAAAATAAGCCCCCCACCTGGCTCTTCCACTGCTACTGTGCGAATCTCTCTCCTCTCCCACCACCTCCTCTGTGTCCACTGCCCCCCTGTCCACTGCCCCCTGACTCTCTCCCCGGGGTACAGCGCATTCACCTGGCCTCTCCTTCTGGAATCTTTCCGCCGCTGCCAGCCTTGGGCTGTCTTTACTCACATAAATTAGGCAGCCGCATAATTTGCCTGACTGCTTTGAGTCCCGATTGTTCGGTGCAGCCAGCGGGGCCCAGCAGAGCGGCCCAGGGAAAGAGCACTAATTTTCTCAAGAGGGGGGTATCCCTGGATCCGCCACTGCAACTTTGTATAATCATTATACAGGAATGCAGAATACCACCAGCTATACATTATGCATCAAGTCAGCAATACTGAATACCCCCAGCTACAGTCTCCCAATCCCCCCTTTCCCCCCAGACCAGCCATCACCCATAGACTCCCCAGCCTCACCTAACTCTTGCAGCACCTTGGCGGCCATAGGAGTGAGCGCAGGAGAGGTCCTCACAATGACCCACACAGAAGGATGTGTTTGCCTGGCAGAGTCGGTACAGGCTCCCCCAGGCTAAAGACTTCTTACGGGTGACAGGCATTTGCACAGCCGCTTGTGTACATCCCCACACAGCTACCACTACATACAGTTGTCCCTGTCACAGAGTTTACTGCGGTTCAGTATAAAAAACCAGCACACTACAAGTAGTTTGCCGTTTTTTTACAATGAACCGCAGTACAGTCTGTGACAGTGACAGCTGTATCTACTGGTGCTACTTAAAAAACAAAAGTTGAATCTGCCTATATTTTGCTTTCCCTCCTCCCTTTTTTCCAGCTAATGAAATTTGTCAATAAAACCTTTCAGTTACCAATACAAACCTTCATTTGAGCCCAGTCATGTCATCACTGGCTTTGTGCTTCTCTATCCAATGCAGTTAGATCATGGCTGGTTGGAGGGGAAGGCAGGGTAAAGTACATAGCTTCCTGGAAAAATCGCAGAACCTTTCCTCATTACTCTTCTCAAGAGCCCTCAGCCCTGATGCAACCAGTAGTCCGGTTCTTGGCAGGAGTTTTGTCTTGATGGGTAGATATAAGTCTGGAGGAGTGGGCATTCCTATGCATACTGCATACTGCATTTGCGTAAAGACCACCCTAGGTAATGCACACATATGATGCTGAGCCGCTATGATTGAAAGAAGTGAAATCCAAATAATGAAGGTTTGCCCGGGACAGTAAGCCTGGGGTAATAAGAGCTAGAGGATGATGGACATCCTCCAGCCAGGAAATGAGACTGTGACATTTTGCTGCTTCTAATCAACACTGGGAGAAGCTCACTGTGTGCAGAGTTAACAATTTAAGTACATGAGAGAAGTTGGTACAACCGTGCAAGGTAAGGATGGATTTTAATGATAGACATTTACTTCACCCAACATACATTTTGGCACAGCAGGTATTGTGGTAAATACCAGAACTGACTTATCAATAGTCTAAGCCTGAGAATAGCCAGGAGCAAGCAGGACTTGAGATTCTTCACTCTGGTATAAAATCCACATGAGTTTACTCTTTAGGCTACCGATGGGCTATAGGGGAAGGTTGCTTGCAGTGTTCTTAAAATAGATAATGCTATATGATGTCAGAAAACCTGTCTTCAAACTCATAAAACCTTAACATTTACTTTCATAAACAGTATTAAATCAGTTATTATATTATTTTAGATTTATTGGTCCATGAATGTAAATGTATTCTGCCTTTACCACCAATGTTCACTTAACGAGTATTCATTTTAGTTATATCTCACCATGAATAGACTGTGGGACTTCATGTCCAATCAAAATTTCATTATAGTTCTGTTTAAAAATAGAAATACTTTCTAGGTTTCCTAAATGTATGGGCCTGTGTTGACGAGCTTGTGTCAATGGCATCAGTTTGACATCAGTTAGAGACAGCCATGAGATCATTAATAATTTAGCAGGTGCATTTGACCTGCAGTTTCTCTCCTTATGACCTGTATTTGACTTGCTTCAAGCAGGTTTTGCATTTCAATAAACTTGTATCGGAATTCAAGACCCAGCTGACATGAATTAAAGCGTGTCGACACAGGTTCCTAACTTCATGGTATGATTGTAGCAGTAATTATGGGTATGTGTCTCCCAGTCAAAAATAAGGCATACAGCCTTTTAAATTGTCTGTTGGCTCACCCGAACCTGATTAAGCATCAGTTACTGTTAGACCACTATTACAGTGCCTTTGCATAGGAGGTATTGTAGCTGCCTGCCTGTGTAAAATTGCACGAAAGGTATAATACAACACAACTTGTACGCACAGGAACTGTTACTTTCAAGCCTTTAAAGCAGATGTCAGGTTCAGTCTGGAAGGGCTTAATACAAGTCCTAATGGGAGTGCTGACTGTAGCTTTAAACAAGCTTTTAGAAGGTTTCAGCAAACCTTAGCCCTGATAAAAGCTTGCTAAAAGCATACAATGTTGCCCGTTTGTTAATGTAATAGCTTTTTAATAACGGCTGCCATGGAAATTTGAATCCAATTCATGCAGTCTATGTCGCTATTGAGGCAATATTTGGAGAAGAAAAAAAAGGGGGGGGGGTGGAGCTAGATATGCTTGATTATTACTTTGCCATAAATTGTATATCAAACTAAAGATGTACCATTTTTTTGGTTCCCAGGACCTACTTACATAGTGACAGAATACTGCAGGTTCGGAGACCTGGTGGATTATTTACACAGAAACAAGCACACCTTCTTGCAGTACTATGCTGACAAAAGTAGGAAAGAGAATGAGGAGTACAGTAACACTTCCACAGGAGAGAGGATGTCAAGGTAATCTTTACTTTCTTCATTCATACTAGTGAACACAAATATAAGCTTAATAATCATACTTTCTGCTTTACTAGACAGTTTATTGTAGGGACGCACTGATACCAGTTTTTCTGTACGAGTACTGATATTTTTTTTCCAGTAGTCGCTGATACTGAATCCTGATACCGGAAGTCCAATAAAGGAAGCCAGTCATTACCTTCCCCCCGGCTTCCTGATTGGCCAGAAAGCCGACTCCATACTTCCTCATCAACTGGTGACGAGGGAGCATGGAGACGGCTTCCCGGGTAATCCAGAAGCCGGGTGGTGTATCATTACACACTGCTCGGCTTCCTGGGTAATCAGAAAGCCTGCGGCGAGTCATTACATTCATTCTTTACATCCATTCTTTATTACCGAGGAAGCCGGGTGGTGTATAATGACTCGGCGCCCGGCTTCCCGTTTAGGGCAAATCAGGAAGCCGGGGGGTGGGTGATGACTCGCCGCCTGGCTTCCTGATTGGCCAGCTTCCCAACCAATCAGGAAGCCGGGCGGCGAATCAATACACAGCGCCCAGCTTCTGATTGGTTGGGAAGCCGGCTCCATGCTACCTCGTTACCAGGTGACGAGGGAGCATGGAGCCAGCTTCCTGACCAATTAGGAAGCCGAGCAGCGTGTAATGACTCGCCGCCCGGGCTTACTGATACCAGAAGTTCTGGTATCAGGATAGGCATCGGGAGCCTTTCGGCGGGTACGAGTACTCACCCAAATACGCTGTATTGGCACCGATACTGAATCCCGATACCGGAAGTCCAATTAAGGAAGTCAGGCAGCGTGTAATGACTCCCCGTCCTGCATCCTGATTGGCCGGGAAGCTGGCCAATCAGGAAGCCGGGCGGCAAGCTGTATTGGCTGATAATGAATCCCGATACCGGAAGTCCAATTAAGGAAGCCAGGCAGCGTGTAATGACTCCCCGCCCTGCATCCTGATTGGTCGGGAAGCTTGCCAATCAGGAAGCCAGGCGGCAAGTCATTACCGTTATTGGCACCAATAACGATACTAGTATCGGTATCAGTGCATCCCTAGTTTATAGTTAATTAAAACTCCAAAACAAAACATAAAGTTAGATAAATATGAATTTTAGAGCACAGGGAAGGGTGTTTCTGCTTTTTAATAAAATACAGTTGTACATGAATACATTCATTGTAAAAGTTATGTATTAGATTTCTCACCTCTTATAAATTCAGCTTGGAAACTTTGGCTGGTAGAATCAGACAGTGAGTAGATAGTGGGCAGTGGTGTTAGATCTACATTACATTCATTCTTTATCTCTCTACTTTCCAGCCACTTTTCAATCCCGGTAGACAGTGATGGAGGCTACATGGACATGAGCAAAGATGATATCTACTACGTGCCTATGCTGGACCTCAAAGAAGACATTAAATATGCAGAGATTGAGCCATCTGGTTATGGAACCACATATGAGCTGGAAAGTTACTCCACTTCTGGTCAGTGGAAATTGAGCTTCTTCAAAAACAAAAACACACATTTAAAGCCTATAGGGTTACACATACTATTAGCTCCATATTTCTCAGAAAACAAAATAGGCCATAGTTCATCAAGTTGTGTTCTAAGAAATTATCATTCATTACCAGAAACCAGAAAAAGAAATACATTTTTAGAGCTGAACTCCAGCCAGTTATAAAAACCCCCCACAATTTAGCTATGGGTCAGTGTACGCACCTGAATATTACTAGGTAGCAGCCTCTTGCAATCACTTGTACAGCAGAGCTTAGACTCAGGAAGGGAGAAGCAACTCAAAGAAGCAAATAGTTGTGCTGCAGTGCTCATGTACAAGGAGCATGCTGTTAAGAGAAGCGTGGAGAGCTTCAGACATAAAGTATGAGCTCCTCAGTTTGCTGCTTCTTTTGCTGCTTCACACAATATCATGCAAATAACAAGCCCCTGTGGTGTGAATGGGCCTTTACACAGTGGTTTGTTTTTTTGTTGCTTGTTCTACCCCAGCAGGTACTATGGTAATGTCTAGTAATGCAAAAAAATGCATCCTGGATTCCCATCTCTTCAACTTTCCCTTACCTCTTCCAGCAGTGGCGCAGTGATGAAGCAGGGAGCCTGGTAGGTAGTCATGTGACCACCCACCCAGCTTCTTGATTGGATGGGAAGCCGCAGACACGCCCACTCGCAGCTTCCCAGGCACCGAGGACTGTGGCAGTTATGTGAGGAATGAAAGTGGCAAGTGCTGCTGCGCTCTGTATCACTTAGCCAGTCACAGAGAGATCTTTGTGATCTCTGCACCGACTCAGTGACTAAAAACACAGCGCCCACTGTTTCAGTTTAATTGTTGCACTCGGGGTAATTAGGGTGTGTCCAGGCACACCCAGCACACCCTGTGTGCATGGCTTTGAAACCTATTTTCCATCTCTTTACCTTTGTCACTTATAGGCAGGAGCCTACTGCGTCTAATGGTAAATCTGGCCAGGTCACTCTCTGCAAGGAGTTTGCATGTTCTCCCTGTGCTTGCGTGGGTTTCCTCCCTGTACTCCGGTTTCCTCCCACACTCCAAAGACATGCTGGTAGGTTAATTGGTTCCTCTCTAAGTTAGCCCTCTATGTATGCCTGTGTGATAGGGACCTTAGATTGTAAGCTCCTTGAGGGTAGGGACTGATGTGAATGTAGGTGGAAAATTGTTCTTATGAATTCAAACTCAGCACACAGGCTATTCTCTAGTACATGATCTTAGTCCACCTGAATGTAAAGTGCTGTGTAAATTGTCGGCGCTATATAAATACCTGTAATAAATCAAATGTCTAAACCTATGCATCAACTGCTATACCTCAGTCCAATCAGAATAGACCCATTATGCAGTGACACACTCATCTTGAACCAGGAAAAGTAAGCCTTAGTTGCACAGCGAAACCAGTGTAATTCCAAACGTAAGACAGATATAAAAGACACAAATGAATGCAACTCTGTAATCATTAATACAGTACAGTATTTAATATATTTTAAATGCAAGCAGTAGAACTAATACTAGTACACTAATTTGGCTTAGTGCCAGCCTCTTGCAATCCTCTGTTCAGAAGAGCTCAGAATTGGGGGAAGGAGAAGCAACTCAAAAAGTCAATCAGTTGTGCAGCGGTGCATGCTGATAGAAGAAAAGAGCAGAGTAACAGAGAGATGAGCTCATCTGTCTGCTGCTTCTCCTTTCACTGTCCAGTCACAGGCTTGGAAAGGGACAAAACCCATAAGTGTTACTGAACTCCAGCAAAAATCAGGTCTCCTACCCTGCCAGATAGGGCTGTGCTGTGTGACAGGCCTTTGTAAATCTCCGGACTAAACAGATAGTAATTTAAACCGTTTGGCAGGTAAAACATCTCTAATATATGTCATTTATATGTGTGTTTAGCTCTTTGCCTGGAGTTCAGCTTTACAAAAGAGACAAAGAGGAGGGATTTCTGGCTAATTAAGATAATAGCATCCCCTTGAGGTTTATGCTTTTATTGAAGACTTTTCATTTTAAAGGTTTGATATGAGTGACAGGTTCACTTTACACATGCCACAATGAAATCCATGTCGGGTTAAAGAAAGATGCCCACTTCTCTCATCTTATATACTGTATGTGCCATCCAAATTAACACCAGTTTTTCAGATGAATAATAAACTAATGATATTTCTCTCTTTTTTAATGAAGCTAATGAAAGGACCAATTATAACACCTTGATAAATGAATCTCCAATCCTCAGTTATACCGATTTAATTGGATTTAGCTACCAAGTCGCTAACGGGATGGAATTTCTTGCTTCAAAGAATGTAAGTTTTTTCAGTTCTCTTTAAATTTCACTTTAGATTATTATTGCATTTACTGACTTGTAGTACTGAATCTATCTGTTTGGGTGACAAAGACTGCCCATTGTCATATATTTATTTGGCATTTCCTTTACTGGTGCTATATATAAAACTGCAGCCATAAAGGGAACTTCTACTGAACATATAGGCTGCCATTGATGAACTTGCCTTCTAGAAATGCTAGTTGCCTGCTTTCAGTTCAGAACTAATGGTTTATGTTGACCAGTAAGGAGATCAGGGGTTTTGACACTCCTCTGACATCACTGGTTGCTGGGTTGGCTTTAGTTATGATGTTTTTTTAAGACAGGTTAGTGATGGCAGCCGTTTTTTTCCCTTAGTGATGTTTCTGTTCAGTCATTTTAATTTTTAAGTGTATCTAATCCCAAGAGCAAAACATTTTATATATTGCAGTTTACCAGTCCATAGAAAGTGGTGGCTGCATTCTTTTTTCAGGCTTTTTACCTTTTATTTTTACCAGGCGATCCTGCCAGTAACACACTTCCTCTCCTTGGGTTATAACACTCATTTACTGTACTGCGGAGGAGCGGTGTTGACACCATTGGAAAGGAAGTGTGTTAGGACAGAACACCTCCCCCGTTTCCTCTTCTCTATAACAATTGGGTAAGGGTTTTGTTTTGTCCATAAGGCAAGGCTGATTACATTGTTGGAGATTTCAGTGCAACATTGTCAGTGGACTACAGGAAGTTAGGACTTAACTCAGGGGGCGTCCCGAGGGCGCGTGACGTCACCGGGAAGCGCGGTCATCTAATTGACACCTGCCGATGCCCATCTTAGTGATGGACGCCGGCAGAGAGAGGAGGGGACGTTCAGCCGGCTGGATGAGGTATGCCACCGTTTCACCTCCTCTCTCCTGACACTGTTGGGCTGTCGGTCCATGACCAAGTGCCCGACTTTTTAGAGGGGGTAATTGAAGAAATAGGTCACCAGCACTCAAAGAGTTTAAAAATGAATAAGTCCTTTTTATTGGACAATGGTGTCACGACAATCCAAAAGAGCCGACGTTTCGGGGCCACGCAGGGTCCCTTTCTCAAGGCAGAAGATGTGACCACACAATTGAACAATCTTCAATTGTTCTTTTTGCACGGTGCCATCCGTGGAGTTACTACAAGCACCATCTTTGTTTATTGGCCGGGACTGCTGAAAGGTGTGCGGAGAGCACCCTCACCTAACTTTTTAGAGGGGGTGACACCAAAATCACAGTCATTTTGGTGTCACCTTTCCAATGGTGTCACCCGGGTGTGGGCCGCACCCCCCTTGTGACGCCACTGACTTCACTAGATTTCTGGCAGGATAGACAGATATATTTTTGCACTTGTCCAACAGATAAAGCAAAATGCTAGAAATGTTAGATTTAACAGAACAAAAGGCTTCAAATAACAAAAGTTTGTTGACAGGGCTTACATACACATTCATTAATTTCCAGTGCTCTTGAACCAAAACTAATGATAAAACACTGCATTGCAACTATCTACTAGACTTACTTATACCATACTTTTATTTCCCAGCCCCACTACATCCACCCAAATTATGATTAGAGCCACCCAAACCTAAACTGAATACATTTAAAGGGTAGGTAAACTTGGGTGCTTTATGCACACCAGTAATACAAAAACATGAAGCTCCATTCATTGAAAGAGCTCAAATGATGCACAGTAGAATTCCATTACCTGCTGGCTATATGAACTGAATGCTCACAGGGGATGTGTTCCTATTAGTTTTTGTTGTATGTACTGTCCTCATTCGATACCTGTAGGTGGAAAATTGATCATATGAATTCAAACTCAGCACACAGGTTATTCTTTAGTACATGATCTTAGTCCATCTGAAGAGCCAGAGATCACATGTGTAGCATAAGGCCCCTTTCACATGGACCCCTTCATGATTCCAACCATTGTGACATCCATGCCATCCAGTTTTTTCCTGCATCTTGCGATGGAGGAAAAAACTGAAATTGCTGGACCCCATGTTGGTCTATAGGGAATTGGATGTAAATGGACATTTGCCAATCCACCACGTTCAGGTCCCGCAAAAGGGAACTCTAATTAATTTGTTTCTCCAGACCTAGCCAGAGTCCGGGCTAAATGGATTTAAATAGACACACATCTGTTTAGATCGGGCTGCCCATAAACTAACAGTGAGCTTCTGATCAGATCCTCCTAAAAAACTGACAGACAGACCTGATCGAAATGCCCACGTGAAATGGTCCTAGGGCAGTGATGGCGAACCTTGGCACTCCAGCTGTTTTGGAACTACAAGTCCCATGAGACATTGCAAGGCTCTGACAGCCACAGACATAACTCCTAGAGGCAGATGCATGTTGGGATATGTAGTTTTGGCACAGCTGGAGTGCCAAGGTTCGCCACCACTGTCCTAGGGTATAAGAAAGTAAATCATATATCTGATCCTGTATGTCAATCTATAGTGTGTTCATCGCGATTTGGCTGCAAGAAATGTTCTGATCTGTGAGGGGAAACTGGTGAAGATCTGTGATTTTGGACTAGCCAGAGACATCGTCAGAGACTCCAACTATATTTCCAAAGGCAACGTAAGTGTTCCTGTAAAGATCTTTATCATCATAGAAAGCTAAAGGCTACCTTTTTATTTCTATCTGTATGAGGGGTCTGGGGTGTATTTGCTTGGGGTGAATGAGTTCATTAGTGCACGTTATAATTTAGTCTATGTGAAAAAGGTTTCTGCTTTAGGAGTAGATTTACCTAGTCTTCATTTAAAGTGAACCTAAACCCAAGAACAAAAATTTCAAATATTCCACTTTACCAGTCCTTGGGCTTAGTAGCTGCATTCATTTTCTTTTTTTCGGGTTCTTGTTTCTTTCTTTTCACCCAATGATCCTGCTAGAAACACTCTTTCTGTCCTAGGCTGGCAATGCTCACTCACCATACTGGGTATCACCTAGGAGAGAACTATAGAACACCTTACCCTTTCCTCTTTTCAATAACATAGGAAGGAGGTGTTCTGTAGTGCAAAGAAATAGCCAGGGAGAAGGTAACTCATAAAACTGCAACACAGGCAAAGAGCACAGGAATTTGCCAGCTTACATGATTTCTGGCAGGATTGACAGGTATTTTTTGCATTTATCAAACGGCTATAACAAAACACCTTTATTAGTAGAGAGCAAATACGAAACATTCATTGTTATACCTTATGTACACTTTGATCTTCATAAATGAATTCCAGGCAAACATCGAAATATTAAGGGTCAATTGCATTTTAGTACAAAGTGCACTAGTCCAACTGATGCATGTTTTTTAACATTGATAAGATATTTACATAAAGCTCATTTCTGTATCTAAAAACTTGAAAAGCTCACTTTATACTGCTGCAGTGATACTGCTCTTCATGTAGGTGTGAAGGTTTGTTACAACATAAGGTGCTTCCTAAAGCACTCACATATTCCCTGCAGCCACTCAGGGCCGGATTCCCGACAAGGCCACCGAGGCCCGGCCTCGGGGCGGCCCAGGTTTGAAGTCTCCCGACGCCTGGAACATGCAGTTCTGGGCGCCGGGCGGTAATTTGTTTTCTACATTTAGCCCTGCTTTGAACAAGCAGGGCTAAATGAAGAATAGGGGAAACCACTTGTTTCTTTACAAGTGTTCTCGGCAATGTCGCCGAGATCACTTGTAATTAGACTCCAGCCGGTCCGTCCTCCCCCCGCCACCCCTCCCCGCACCTACCTCTCTCCATGCTGCGTCCTTCCGGGTCCGTCCTCTCCTCGCTGGCCGCCGACGTCTTCAGGATGGAGAGCGGTGAGCAGAGCGGCAGGGTTAAAAGTAACCCTGCAGCTCCGTGTATACAATGAGAGGGGAGAGCAGTCTTCCCCTCTCACCTGTCACAGGAGTTTCAGCACAGTGCTGTGCTGGAACTCCTGTATTGGAGGTGACAGGGTCAATAAAGAGAACCTGTCACCTCCAAATGCTATCACATAGTAACTTGTTAGTTCCTGTGTGATAGCAATAAAGTTAGGTGAATATAAGAAAAATATTTTAAAAATATGAAAGTAATTATAAATTTAAAATAAGATAAAAAATCATAAAAAAGTAAAAGATGACAAAATAAATAAAATGTAAAGTAAAAAAAAATTAAAAAGTCATAAAAAAGTTTTTAAAAAAAGAAGAACGAACAATAAAAAAATTAAAACGAGCCCTGCCACCCC